GGTCTTTGTATTCCGAAGTACGGAAATTATTGTAAAGAGAGAAAATAAAAAGGGTTTTGTATACCCTTCTTGTGTATCCTGTCTACTTACCACAGTTATTGAACATAGCTTTAGTAAGCTCTCTGTTCCGAGTCAGGTCCTTGCATGTTCCCAAAGAAAGTAAGACGGAACATTGAACCTGATAGGCTTACTAGGTAACTATTTTCTAAAGCTTTTTCACTTGAAGTTATGAAAACATTTCAATACTTGTTTAATGTTTTTGAACTCCGATCATTTCCGCTAAAAATATTCTTCAGATTTACCCTTTAAATTTGCATGCTCAGATTCAAGATGCCTTTTAAGAAACGATGGTTTATTACCTTGATTGAGCATGAGGATCCATTTCATCTCCATTCCAAATAAAACGAAATAATAAATAACGTTCATTATATTTTCTGTAAACAATTTTCTTTTCTTTTCAATATTCTTAGTGCTAGTAGATTATCCTGAATACATCACTTGAGAATCATCACTTTTCTGCTTAGTAAATCCTAACCATTTTTCCATTTTGAAAATCTGGGCTTCTTTTATTATTTTTTCACAGTATTTAAACACACGAGTTCTTCAAAAACAAACGACGATATTCTCAAATCGCGATGAAAAGTAAGGAATACAAAGCAACAGGGAGACACAATACCTTCTGTTAGGGACAGCAAATCTACGCCAAAAAAATATTCTAATTGATATTTTAAAAGTCAAAGACACTCGATTTTTAATACTTATTTGTTCCTCCATTTAGCTGTTGCTGTTAGTTTTAATTAAAAGGGAAAGAGGTAAATAAGTGAAGTGTATAAGAATATAAAAGTCTATTTAACAATGAGTAAATGGCTATCTTGCTATTTCGGCGAGATACTGCCAAGCTGACAATAGTTTGGGCAACTAATTTTTGTCCCCAAATTTGGCAAGAAATCGCCAAAAGTCACCAAACTTGGCAACCATTTGGCAACATTTGAGTCCAGTTTCTGTTATGTAACTCAAAGAATTTAATTGATCGCTACATAACTGTTACCGTATCCGGGTTTTAGATGTAACTTTAACCGTATATGCTTTCCAGTAATTTCGAGAAATTGAATTTACTAGAGATTCCTCGGCAGCTATATGAAAACTATATAATACTGGACAGCTCATCTGCTCTCAGTTGTTTGTTTAGAGCTGAATTCGGAGTAGTGAAATATCTGAGAAAGCTTCGCCGAGCTTTCATTGCGTTGTGTTTAACGTTCCTAGTAGTTTGAAGTGTAACTATTGATTGTACTCTGTGATACTGTGAACAGCTGTATGCCTATTTTGTGTAAAGTTTCAGAACTGTAAAGTGCTTCTTTTGATAAAATAAATTTGATCAATCTATCACCGCTCCTGTGTGTATTCAAACTATTAAAAACACATACGTACACAACAGTATTTTATGTAGAATTAATGCTCATAAGTATATTCCAGGCTGCGGTCGAGAATCACAGCCGTTGTACAAATGGCCCCTTAAGCTTTGAAGCAAGTCAGTCAAACTTCAATGTTATATTCCTGGTCTGTTGGCTTTTCTTTTGATCGACTAAACGGAGCTTGCAATACTTTTAAAGGGTGCTAAACATTTAACAATATTCTAAGCAAAATTTCTTGCATTTATGACTGGAGTTATGTTATCATTTAAAATGTATTTAGCCTTTTGACAATTTTCTTTACATGATTCCTGTTCGCTTTTCTATAGTTTCTATAAAGTGGTCTAAAAGTCTTGCCTATCAAAATGTCAAAAATTGTTGAATTTTTGAAATTGATATTCAGGGCAAATTGTTTCAATGGTTGTCATTCGTATAATGCAACAAGGCGTAATAGTGCTTTATAGTATAGTGCTACAAGCTCTACTTTAAATTTCAGTGGCAGTTTATGCCATTAGCTTTGAGAACCTTTTGTTTGGTTAATAATAAAGATTGCTTTTGGCAGGTAGAACGAATTTTTACGGTGGAGCATTATTTCTCAACGCAATCTTACGGAAAAATTGTTGAAGCGTTTAAAGAGACTTTCCTAAATGTTCATGAACATAACAAAACAATGATTTTCCGCTTGGTAATCTAATTTCGTGAAACTGTGAGCACGTATCGTAAGAAAGGGACGCAATCGTCAACAAATCTGGGAAAGATATCATCGCAATCACACCGCTGCGTTTAATAATGCCTAATTATAAAAAATCATTGTTCTTACAAAAATTTAATCTCTATCTTGCGTAAAACACACAATTTTTAAAGCTAACAGCTTACACTGCAACTAAAATTTCATATGATGTATTACTTGTAAGATTATAGGGTGATATAAAAGTCACGCTTCAATGCGCGTGACTTTATATTTCCAAAGATGGATCGGCAAAATAGAGAAGCAGTTTAAACGTAAAGACGTTGTCTCTATCTACAACACAAAAATGGGAGTGAGTCATTAGGATTTTCGGAGCGGGAAACGTGAAAAATCAACCCTACCCTTGCGCGGATTTATACCATGGGTCTTTAAATTAAAGACTGGACTCGGTGTCACTTACACCAAGACAGCACGCAAATGGGAGTGCGATAATTCCTTACATTCTTCCCCACCTAAAGGATGTCTGAGGTAAGGCAAAAGTGCTTGCCAACTAAATTCTCTTAATGGCGAATTATCATCTGTTACATTTTACTCATTTTAACCCCAATGATTCTGTTAAGAGCAATAGGTTTTTCGGAGTAGGAAGTGCTAAAAATCATTTATGCTATCGCCAGAATACAAACAATAGATTTGCCAGTTATTAGCTGGACTTGGTACCAGTTCAGCACGCATGGGAGAATGCTACAATTCGTTACGCTCTTTCTTTCAGAAAATCATCCACGAAAGCATTTTCTTTTGGAAAAATTTTTAAAACCATAACGAATACTCCTATGTTAGTAGTTTTTCTGTTGCTTCAATTAGCTATATAAGCCTAACTGTCGAAATCTAAACAGAATCGCCCACCAGCGGCCGAGCGGTAAAGTCGCTGCACTGGTAGTTCGGTCTGAGGTTCGAATCCCGCGAACGGGCTGGCTGCATGGGTGTTTTCGTGGTTTTCCCCATGTGTAACGTGTATACGAGCCAGTTTCCCTTAGAAAGTCCTCCACGAAAGGCATCCCTCCCCTTAGGCAGATAGCCCTAGTGTGCTTTGCCGTAAATACACCACACACACACACTAAACAGAATCATTTATATTTGCAGACACGTTTAATCTTCAAGAGAATTTTAGAATTCATTGCTTCAAATTTAATTTAAAATTCAGTGAGAAATAATCATTATAATGTCTGTAAAATCTTTAGTTTGGAATCTCTCTTTTTCAATAAATCAGTTTCGAAGACACTTTTATTTTTAAACACTAGAAGGAATTTCTTATATTGAAAATCTAATTCTAGTCTAGCACTCGAGACAGGAGCTTATCAATGAAATTATTCTAATAGTTCTGGAGCAGTTATATATTATATAATTTTAAAGATTTCTTGATATGTTTCATGTGTCAAAAAATAAATTGTATTGTATTTTGCACTTCTGGAGCAGAAAGTTTTCGACCAATGGATTTACAGGTGGGTACAAGTTTCACTTTTATGCACATGTAACTCTTTATAATTTATTCAAGGAAATATTTGCCGTTATGTACTGTAAATAATAAATAAATAACAAAAGAACAACCAAGCAAATAATAAAATCTGTGCCTGGTTATTTTAACAACTATATCTCAAAGAAAATCGAATAATAAAAATGGTTATGAATTTACTTTCATTTAACTGGTTTTAAATTATTTATAATAATTAAAACTTGGTCATTTGTAGGGTTAAACAATATGTATAAAAATTTCAATTGTGGCACTGCCTATTTATGATTTAAAAATTGTATTCATTGTAACTCGAACTAAGATGAGTAAAGCATCTGAGCTCTTTTTTTAGTAGTAAAATTAATAAAACCATTTGAAATTGAAAATGGCCCAGTTTTCGATGAAAAAGCTATTATCGAAGGGAAAAAATTCCTTAGTTTTTCCAAATATTTTGTTCTTTGCTCGTCACACCCAGAAAGTTAAATTCTTAACTTAAAAGTCTAAATTTATCTTTGCATCAGTTATTAGTTATTTTAAAATATCTGTCACAGATATATTTAATTTGCCTTTTACAGGCAATACCTATATTATATAGATGGAATGATTTTCTGAGCTTCCGCTTTGCCATCGGCGGAATTAGTATTATTTTATCTACTTCCAAACAGTCTTAGCATTCAAAATTAATTAATTAAATATGATACAAAGGACCAAGTTCTGCAACACATGTCAGCAAAGCTATTAATGTCTATAATCGAATTTTCCTCTAATCCCCTATTCCGAATAGAAATAACAAAGAAATGCTGAACTGGGAGCTAACGCGATAGACCATATGCGAACAAAGACAGTGTTCGCTCATAATTTGGAAGCAATGAAGCTATAAATGAGCCCAGATCTTCTTTACGACCAATTGAGTAGCAACTTATTCGCTAATGCTATTTAGAGGCGTTTTATTTTTCTGCGATGCTGATTTTGAAATAAAAGTACTGAAATGAATTTGAGGAATTAGGTATTTCATTCAGAAATATGAAATGAAAAATTATTAAGAAAACTTTGCTTCGGTTGGGGAGTTTTCAATAAAACTTTTTGAATACACCAATGATGTAAAAGCGATTATTAAATGAAGAAAACTACAAAATTTAGACATATGGCATTTACTGTAATAAACAAAATTTATTTCAGTAAACAAAATGAGCACGGCCAATATATCTAATTACTTGCATGAGAGCAAGAATATAAATGAAGTTAAATACATGAAATTAATATTTCAATGAATAAGCGACTAAGTTTTCACAACAGTCTAAGTGAAATTAATTTATTTTACAGATTTTCGTGATGCAGTGTAATTAATTAAAATCCTCCTTGATATCAATTTATTACTACGTGTTTGAAAACTTACCCTAATTTTATCGACATGAAGAGGTCTAAGACTGGGATCAAAGAGAAGTCCAGCTGGATCAACATTCACGGGCGACTGCCTTCTGCCTTTGCTGCATAAACTCCATTCGAGATTCAGAAGACCCCAAAAATCCGGTCCTACAATGGGATAACATTAGAAATTTTTAAAAATGATTCAGTATCTTTTCTGTATTAAAATGCAGTTTAATCAACAGAAATTTCACTGATTTACATAATATATTAAGCATTTATGTACGCGAATTATCATAGTATTTAAAACTGAAAAATGGTAGTATTCTAAATGTATTGCCTAGCAAGATGGAAAGGTATTTGTCAATAACTTCTGGTACGACAGAAGTTTATTAAACCTATCGTCTGCTTTACGTGATTAGTTTGGAAAAAGAAAATGTGAGATTTAAGTACCGCCTTTAATTACTTTATTTCAAACTCCGTTTTAAAACAGATACATATAATGCAAATCATTCAAGAATTTGGCAAAAAGTATTAAGCAAACTATTGAACCCATGTATCATAACACTGTCATAATTGGTATTTAACTTAAATTTCTTTCTAGCACGTAACCGAACTGAATCAACAATATTTAAATACACTGCTCAACACTGAAAGTTCATTGCTATCAAATCCACAATAAAATAGTATGTATTAAAGTGACATAATTTTCTATGCAATCAAGCTTTTCATACTCTGTTTCGAAACAGATATTCTCGCTAAATAATTCATTGATTAAGACAAAACACAAGAGCGCTATTTACCTCTTACGGCTTTAACTCTGCCCAGACTAGCTTAATCGCCAGTCTACTGTCTCAGAAGAAACGTTTTCGTAAAACACATTCTAAGATAAACTAGTTTGTATTACCTATAAACATGGGAGAACTACGTAAACCAGTTCAACCAGTCTATTATTGGAAAATCTAACCAGTTACCAGTTATTCCTGTTTAGCAGGCTTATCACTCAACCACTGGTTGCTCAATCAGATTTCATTGAATACAATATATTTAAAAAGTCATATACTATAATACAAGGTAGTCAAATTTCAACAGTAGCATACTCCTGAATATAAGTTATTGTCACATATTCCTGAACACAGGTTACGACTTAATTCTGAGGTTAATTCTCCAATCTCATATTCTTCGCTGAAACTTTCATATGCAGGGTAGCCTACAACATTCTGAAACATGCGGAAAAGCATGAAAACAATTCTATTAAAAATATAAGTATGATGTTTAGAGATTCAATAATGATCACGTCACTAAAATAGCATACAACTTCGTCCCAACTAATAGATATTTCAACGCAGATTCCCAGGTTTTGAATTTTCTGAATGGTTCTTGGAACTATTCCTATTGCGGCATGCAATACATATATACATTAATCCTCATATGTCTTCGACAGCTTTCACAATGATTATAATAGTGATTATGTTTTGCTGATAGCAATAATTCAGCGATTGGAAACGACTTTGAAATTTTTTAATGTATTTTATGCGACAAACTTATTATTTTAGTTTAATACGGTTTATTTATTGTTTTCTTTGCCCAATGCTGATTACTCTAATAATAATAACTAACAACAACAACAACAACAACAACAACAACAACAACAACAACAATAATAATAATAATAATAATAATAATAATAATAACAATAACAATAACAATAATAATAATAATAATAATAATAATAATAGTAATAATATATAATAATAATAATAATAATAAATCCCGTAAAATCAGTAATTCTGTTTTCGTGCTAAGGCGATAAAATAATATATTATATATCAGCCTGTTATTATACAAAGTTCCAATCCACCCCTGTATACTTCTGATTAAAAGAATTGAGCTTTCTACTCTTATCCAAGTAGCGATTCGAGCATGTTGAACGTAAAAAAAGGTCTTCACAGAAAACAAAACATCTTGCCGGAGAGTCAATTAAAAAAAGGTACACATTTGTTTTTTGTGCCTATACTTTTATATTGTGCATCGTAATCACACATCAGATATTTAATAATTAGAATACGTTCTACACAATGTTCTATTTTAATATTTCACCCACTTACCCATACTCAAAATTTTCGCCTCCTCATAGTACAGTTCCGATTTTATTTTATGTAAAATTATTATTTATAAATTTCCGGCTACATTTTCATTTTGCGTACGTAAATTGTAAAATTAAAATTATCTTAATCAAACGCACTTAATTTCCAAAGTTATATCGAAGAGGCACACAAAGTCTCACTATAGTGTCTTAGGCGGTAAGTGAACTAATTTAGACAATTATGCACCTATCCCTGGCCTCCTAAGGCATCATTCACCCGGCGCCAGCCGGAGGGATTATGTCATCAGTAGAACATCAACAGTACTTCCTAGGATACACGTTTGACACCGAGAAGAGTAGTCTCATCCACAGAAGGTGTAGAGAAAAAAACTTGACATGGTAGAAGAAAACTAACTACAGTTTTGAAGTTAGCATGCCTACTTACGTATCTCTAAAACAGCTCAAAATTCGAATTCAACAGAAATTGAATTACAAATTATTCCCAGTATAATGCATTGTTCATCATTGACAGTAATAACTGTCAACAATACTTTAAAATTATTCTTTGTTGAATTTATAAAAAGGAAACGTTTTTCCAGTGGTTTCAGTAAGACGTCTTTGATACTTCCCATATGCATCTTTCTATCTACCTATTTATCTCTACATATGGGTGCATATGTATGTAATCCATAAAACAAATATACACACACACATATAGATGAATAAATATAAAGCAGGTCAAAACCTAAACCATTGCGCTCTGAAAGCAGCAAAATGTTGTGGTAATGATGCAAACAAAAATTTAAAAACATTAAAAATAAATAAAAAAATAGTGGCAAACTGCATGTTTGGCACAAAAAATGCCCAAATCAAAAACGAAAAGAAAGAAATATACATCTTTCTCTACATCGACATCACGGGGTTGGTCAAATAAAGGTGTAAATAACGAACACATTTATCACATTGAAAATTTCTAATTTTGATATATTATACATCTGAAAAATTTATTATCAAAGAATTTTTTGATTGAAACAATTGTAGGATTTCAGTACAGGTGGGCACTGTATCAATTAAAAACATCCTACACTGCCATCCAGTTAGCAGCTCTTTTACTCCAATTGCATACAGACGCCGTTTCTCATATGTAAGATTCTTGATAAAGACACTATTTGTTTTTGGGAGCCCCAGCTGCTGAGCGGCTGATAATGCTGAAAGCGATTAATAAAATGCTTAGGGAAGGAATCGGTTAGTCTGCCGGTTACTTTATATACAGCGAACTGTTTCATTAGTTGAGAAGAGGAGCAACTTAGGAATCGCATAAAGTTTGCGCCATCGACTGCTGATAGGAAATTTTTATTCGTTATTTTCACCAACCAATTTCAGTGTGTGACGAAAGGGAGAAAGTCTCGCCTGACTATTTATAACTTCAGTTCCCGTAAGTAGAAGTGGAGGAATGTGAGAATTAAAGTAAAGAAAAGTTGGGGCATGATTAACTGCTCGATGCGTCTTGTGCGTTTCTGGATGGGCGAAACGGAAACATTACATGTATAATGAAGCCTAGCGAGCAAACGATTACTTCTTTAATATTAGTTTTGTGTTAAAGGATGTAAACACGTTTCTGATTCATAAATGCTTCAGATATTTATTACAATTTTTATAGATTTTTAATTTATTTCATATGCAGAATTTAAGGCAGATAAAGCCTTTATGAAGAAGCATCTCAAAACATATGACATTGAAAAGAGAATCACCTGTAAGCAAAATATAAAGGAATGAAGTTACTTCTACAGCCTTTGAAAAATAAAGCCTTTATGCGATTTTCAAAGAAAAAAAGACATTAATCTGTCTACCTCTCTTGCTCAGATATTCTTTACAATATACTCATTTGTAATAGCACAGAAACGGAAGATTATTTATCTCATACGCAAATACTATTTATAATATAAATGTGATGTTATATTGCAAAGCACATTAATATATTCGAAATAATTTTGCAGTAGTTTAGTTAAATTATGGATCTATAAAACTTAAAGTTATTACATTAGTTAAATTAGATTGACATTATAAAAAACTATCCTTTTAATTAACTTCATTCAAAAATTATTACAGAAAAGTAAAATGTTTTCATAGATAATACTGTGGATGGCTGCATTCATATTTAACTTATTCTTATGAATTTTGCACATGGAACTCAAAATTTGTAAACTTTTGTTATTAAGTTCAATCAAAATAATAATTCAATTGCTTTTAAAGAGCGGATGAATTAATTGCTTATTTTTTTTTATTATTTATGAAATTCATAAGAAAAGCAAAATGATGAATAAATAATTCTCTAAAAAGATTGCATATATATTTGTGAAGAACGATTGAAGATGATCCGTTTTACATGACATTTTTATTACGTTGAATACTGGTTTTCTATAACACGTATGATTCATAATTTATATAACTGGATTCTGAAATGCAATCTAGTTTCAGTTATATTAAGAAGTCAGACTACTTTGCATACGTTAAATATTCTCGGTTACGTGTTTAGCAGTAAAAATGAATTAAATGTAAAATAAAGGACACCATACTGAGTAATACAAAAGAAATATTCAAAGGAAATTAAAAAAAAAAAAAAAAAAGAACAGGGAAAAAATTATTAAAAAAAAAAAAAAAAAGAACAGGGAAAAGAATTAACTAAAGATCGAATAATTTAGAGACATTCATCTTGGTGAGTGATATAGCGGTATTTAGAGACGTTCATCGTGGCGAGTGATTTAGCAGTATTCATTGTAGCTGTACAGTTCCCCCGGGATCGACCATGGAGTTATACCACCATGGGATCGACTGAGGGGCGACAGCCGGCGTTCCGGCTAGGACCTGTATTTAGACAGTTTCGGCTCCTGGGGTACAGCCTTTACAGTGTCTAGAACCGTCGTTTATTCGGTGGTAGGTTCTGGCTCGGCAGAAACCGTATTGGTAATGTCATGTGTCATGTATGTAGTGTCATGTGTGATTTGCATTGGGAGATAGTCTGCAACTTACTTCATCTTTCTTTTTGTGGGGCGACAAGTTGGTGCCCAGTTGCACCTGGGTT